AAAATATTATTTATAACACTTCCCTGTTGGCTTACATTTAAACTAATTTTCTTTTTCCTCCTTTTGTCATTATAAATAATACACAGGGGGACATCTTACATATGTTCCTACTACCATGAACTTCACCTTTTTGATTATTTTCTAAGATTAAATTTCAGGGAATAGAATTAACTGGGTACAAGGGTATAAACATATTTATAGCTTTTTAAAATATATTTCCTAATTGCTTTCCAGAGAAAGTATATACATGTAAAAGTATAGTCATGCTTCAGGGTAGTATATTCCGAGGTAACATTAATGAAAGGAAACTTCTTACCATGAAAAATACTTTAGAAAGATACTTCTAAAAAAACCGATCAGAAACGTACCATTGCAATGTTTAGCTCTATCTGCTATATTTATCAAACCTAGGCTGATATTTGGCTGATAGAACTGCACTAGAACAACTGTTATATGTGGCTGACCTCTCTTCTGAATATTATACCTTATATATTATTTTTTTTTCGCACCATTGACACCTCCAGTAAATATTGTTATGTATTTATTTTTTTATTTTTGGAGGTCTTCCGATGAGGACCCGAAAACCTGCTAGACAAATTCTAAAAGAGCGGTAACACTAATGTATTCTTACATATTTAGAATATTACTCTTGGATCAAACCCTTTCTTCTACTAACTGCTTGCTAACAGTTAACTAGGATTGCTAAAAGCATCCGTATTGATTTTTCCCCCACAGGCACGTGATGGTTACGCCACTTACTTGAGATTCATTATTATTTCAGCCTTTGATCATTTTGCATCTGTGCATAGCATTTCTGCAGACGGAACAGTAGTGTCAGATTTTGTATGAATTCATTTGCATGACTTTTTAACAATATATTTATTTAAACATGAAGTTGTCATTGATATACTTTATTAAAAGGATTTATATCAATCTGTTTCAGTTTTTATTTATATTCTCTTCAATATTTGGAGTAAAGAAATTCTGGTTTTATTAGGTAGCAGTGCTGGCCATCATGGAGGGTATGAGGACGGTTTGGCTTTAATATTCAGCTTAATCAAGGAAGTAACTATACATGAAAATTTCACTTATAATACATTGTATCCCCACAGCATCTAATACAATGCTCTTCAATCTCAGTGCATTAATTTTTTAATTTACTGATTGATCGATGCAAAGGACTAAGTGAGCACATAGACAGAAAATAGTAGAAGAGTTCAGAGAAAAGAAAATACTTATGGGAAGATTTCATTGAGGTCATGGAACCTGAGCTGGGCCCTATAAAACAAGTCATTTTATTTTTTCTTTTAATTTTATTCTGATTTTAAAAACCTCAGAGAAGAGTTAGGAAACATAATCTTACT